TTGCAGAGAAAAATAATTCATTCTACATAAACGACGTACCTTCAGTATTTGTTAGATCAACATAGGTAGGCAAGGACTCCATGAAATAGGTGTGTGTAGTCTCATTCTCCTGTACATTAACAACAACCCCTCGTATCGTGTCCATATACTTAGGAAAATGAATACGAGGAAAGTATTCCATACAAGAGAATGAATACTTGTGTTTACTAACACTGAAGGAAAAAACAACTACCATAAGGAATATTGACTCAACCATTTTCAATATTTGATAGCAGTTGATCCTCTCTATCATGAAGCATTAAACCCACTAATTGATGCCCGAATATATATCTTGGGAGAAGCAACATAATGCGTTCTCAACTACATTCAGACTCTCTTCATTTGTTGTTACATACTGATTGTAGAAGCAAGCAGTTATGCCTTTTGCTTCCTCGATAGGAACACTACTGAGATGTTCTTTTACTTCATTGAACTCCAGTCCATGTAAACTGATTGAAGAACCAAGAATTCTTGTATACAAATGACGCAGAGGTACTATCTCAATTAATAATGTTGCTGCAAGGGATATAATGAGTGGAGCATGAAAAGATACGAGACCACCTCGAGCCAAAGCTATGGATATACACTGCAATAGAAGACGGGTTGAGCCATTATTGGCTAGAGAAATAAACCCTCCCATTTTCGCAATCAAATTTTGAGCAGTGGGTTCCAGTATATTTTCTGAAGCATCCCTGATTCTGGAAACCAAATCCAGCCTTTGAACATTGGGAATAGTTCTATTCAAAGCTCTCCGAACACTACATGCGGCCATAATAAGGGCAAATGGTGGATAATCCGGTTTTGGAGTCTCGAAGCCTATTTAGTAAAAGTTAGCAACTTCTCCTAAGAATTTAACTTCATGATTCCAGGTATCACCCATTTTACCAAATGCAAAAACATGAGTCCGTTTGGTATGCTACAAGACGGTCCATCTTCCTTGTCCAAAATCCTTGTCAACAAATCCAAAATCCTAACAAAGTGGGCATTTACTGAAGAACATAAGGCATACCCTACCCCGACAAGAACATGGCTAAGAAAATGTGCTTAAAACGAGCTGATCAACATATAGTCTTGCTCTGACAGTCTGCAAACCAAATCCAGGCAAACTGTTTTGGATCGTTCTTATGCAGAAGGCACATGAGTAATAGCACCAAGAAGGAGAACGTATTGGAAAATATTACTAGGAACTTCCTATGTCCATATTCAATTGATAAAAATTTGGAGAGGACATTTGCAGCAGAATCCATTGGCAATAGAGATGGTCTGGAGGACATCCTAACCCAGGCATAGAGCAGCCAAAGCGAAAGAGGATATGCTTCAGTAAGAACAATTTTATCATAAGATAAAATGGAGAGAAGAATCTTTGCTTGGGGGTCAACAACATAGAGAGATACTTGAGAATCTAAGAGAAATGTCATGTACCGAAGGTAATTGGGTTGGAGTGCTTGGATCTGATGACAATCTCTAATCTCAGGCCATGCATGGATAATGGCAAGCGAGAACAACGTAGAAGAAGATTGGCTTGTGCTAACATTGTCGTTGATGCTGCTCTGCCATTGTTCAATAAAAATGGTGTTGTTCTGTGTAATAGAAATCTTGCTACCCTAAATTGAAAACACTACTTTGTGTGACTTCTCTATAAAACTTATTTTGTTTTTAACACCACATAGATTCTCCTCTCACATCTGCAAGCATACTCAATCGGCTGCTTAGTTCCAAGGGAAGACATGGATGAGAAAGAATAATAAATGGTATACGAATAAGAAATCTAAAGCACCGATCACCGGTAGAAGGAAACCTACTGTAGTAAGAAGAAACATAACAACCCAATTTTTTTTACTATCTAGGAAGGCAGCAACAAAGCGAAACTGTGGAGTGTGAACCAGGATGACAGATTCCCAATATCAGGAAGCAACCCAGTGAAAGAAACTACCTAACCATTTGAAGAGCAAAACCTATCATTAATGTACTTTTTCCACTAGCTACTATTTCTAAATTGACATACCAGTTAACTATTTTAGAATAGCCACAGAGGTCGAGCGCACTCGATTGAGAACCCATATGAGAACATATTGGAGGACACTCAGCCCACTACCACGACATGTACCTCCTCTTCAGCCTAGTCGAGTACTCCGCCCGTATCCAATGGATCTGCTTTGACACCTAATGTAACCCTAGTTGATAGTTAAGAAGGGTATATATGTTTGTTTACGGACATTGGCCAATATATCAATCAATACTAAGAAAACACAAACCGGAGAGGTTTCCTCTCCCGTGGACTAGTCCCGTAGCTACGAGGATACCACATAAATTGCTCGTCTCTATATTTCCGCACTAAGTTTCATATTTCCCATGGTATCAGAGATGTGAAGCTCGATCGCATGTTATTACAATAGCTGGTGACGACTCGGTGTTTCTCACTGGCAACAAAATGCCACAATCTGCCACTGATGACTCTGGCGGTTCCGGCGGCTTCCACATTGATGCTCTCAGTCCTCTTTTCATCCACCAATCTGACAGTACCGGTTATCTTCATGTCAGTAGTCCCTTAACACCCACCAACTATGGCGAATGGGCTTTGGAGATGATCGATGCGCTAGTGACCAAGCACAAGCTCGGTTTTGTTGACGGATCAACTGCCCGTCCGGCGGTTGCCTCTGCCGACCTCCCTCAATGGTTTCGTTGTGATGCCCTAGTCAAGGGCTGGCTACGGACAGCCATGGATGCTGAAATCAGGACCATCGTTATGCACGCCAAATCAGCGGAAGAAATATGGGAAGACCTTCATGATCGGTTCAGCAAAGGTAATCTCATGCGCGCCTGTGAGTTGTGCCGCCATGTTAGCCTTCTTCAACAAGAAAATCAAACAGTCTCCAGCTTTTATAAGAGTCTTCGCAAAATCTGGGAAGAAAGTCAGGCTATTCTCCTGCCACCCTTATGCTCGTGTGGGCGCCGTGGTAAGGATCAGAATGAGAGCCTCCGTCTGCTCGACTTTCTCCTTGGCTTGGATGATTCTTTTGCCACTGTACGGAGTCAAATTCTATCCATGACTCATGTTCCTACTCTTCCGGAGGCCTTCCGTATCATCTACAACAACGCTCGTTGACTCAAAATTGGAAAATCGTCCCCGAAAGTTGCTGCCTTTGCCGCTCGGGGTGACGCTGATCAATTTGGTACGACACAGTGAGGAGACCAGCGTCCTGACCCGCATGGAGATCAACGTGGTGATCGTCGTTTTGGTCACGACTCGTCTGCTGGTTATCGCGATTGATCAATAGGCGATCGAGAGCGTTCTGTTTGTTCCCATTGTCAAAAGGTGGGTCATATGTGCGAGACATGTTATGAGCTTGTGGGCTACCGGCCGCGTGACAAGTCGGGGGATCGTGGGGATCATGGTGCTCGCCTCCGTGATCGCGATCATGATGGGATTCATCATCGCGAGCCGCGTGCATCACAAGTCGAGGCCGCACCGAGCCCGGTTTCCGGGTTTACTCTACATCAGCTTGAGCAATTAAAACAGTTTTTTGGGAATTCTTTCGCTGGTCCCTCTGACCCCGTCATTAATATGGATGGTATGTTCTCTTTCTCTGTTGACTCTAAGTGGTTGATCGACTCCGCCTGTAACGAACATATTGCTATGAGTAAGTCTATTTTTTCTTCTTATGAGTCTGATCTTCACAGTCGGCCCGTTCGCATCCCGAATGGCTCCAGCATCCCGATTGCATGCATTGGTTCTGTCAAGTTTTATACGGGTCTCAGTCTGCATGTTCCTGAGTTTTGCTGTAACTTATTGTCTGTCAGGCATTTATGTCAGGAACATCGTGTGGCATTAATCTTTACGGGTGATTTATGCGTCGTACAGGACTTAGACTCGTAGAACGTGATTGGGAAGGGGGAGATTCTTGAGGGTCTCTATTATCTCCACTTGTTTGGATGTCGGCAGGCTCGAGCTCACGTGGCCGTCAAGACTAGTGTTCCCTCGGAGAGTCTTCTCCACGCTCGGCTCAGTCATCCCTCACCCTCGAAGATGGAGCTGCTCCGCCATGTTGTTTCTTTTTCTCGATCTCCTAGCACAATTTGTCACTCTTGTTCTCGTGCTAAGCAAGTTTGAACCCCTTTCCCCACTAGTTCTACTAGTATGACTACTTCTTTTGAGTTATTGCATATGGATATTAAGGGTGGATACCATACTGCTTCTTTGAGTGGAGCGCATTATTTCTTGACCATTGTTGATGATTTTAGTCGGGGAGTTTGGGTTTATCTTCTCCACTTTAAATCTAAAGTTAGTCAATATGTTCAGATGTTCTGTCAGTTTGTCTCCACTAAGTTTGGTCGACAGGTTTGGCGTATTCAGGAGAATAAAGGCTTTGAGCTCCAACACCAAGATCTTCGTCGTTATTATGAGGAGCATGGCATTGTTCTTCAAACTTCTTGCACTGGCACGCCTCAGCAGAATGGTGTTGTCGAGAGAAAACATCGCCACCTTCTTGAGGTCGCATTCCAGGCTTCTTTGCCCATACGTTTTTTGGGGTGAATGTATTCTGACTTCCGCTTATTTGATCTACTGTTTACCAACTGTTGCTACCGGTAAAACTCCCTTTGAGGTCATTTTCGGCAAGTTGGCTTATTACTCTAATTTGCGAGTCTTTGGTTGCCTCTCTACTGCAAGGACACACATACTGGTTTGGATAAGTTTCAGGAACGGGGGAGGGCATGCGTGTTCTAGGGTTATGTTATTACCCAAAAGGGTTATCGGGCTTATGATCTCACAACTTGTAAAGTGATCACTAGCCGTGACGTCTTCTTCCACGAGATTGTTTTCCCTTTTAGACCCACTGTTTCTAACGATTTCCATTGGGGTCTCTCCATAGGTGTTTACTCGGCGTACCTTTGATGATGAGGATGAGCTGGTTACTGCCACTTCTGTGCCACTGCCTACCCCTCCCATACCGGCCCAGCCATCATCTCATGTTCGGCTTGTCCCGGTTGAGCTCGTTTCTCCTGGGTCTCCCACTTCTCCGCCCTCCGCGAATCAGCCCTTGAGGACCCACTCTCCTCGTCCGGCCAGTTTGGCCCCATCGCCTACTTCCCCCAGCTTGCCTTCCTTTGGTTCGCCACAACACTCCCAGGCCGAGCCTGTCCTTCGCCGCAGTGACCGACAGCGTGTCAAGCCTCGCCATCTTAACATTTATTATATAGGTTCCGATGCAAATTATGTCCGGTATGTTATTTCTTCACATGTTGCCTATGATCGTGTCACTCCTGCTTATCGTGGCTTTGTTGCAACTGTCGCCCTCCACACCGAACCTCACACTTTTAAGCAGGCTATGCTTGATGAGCGGTGGCGCCAAGCTATGCGAGCTGAATTTCCCGCCCTTGAGAAAATGGCACATGGGGTCTGGTTTTCCTCCCTCCAAGAAAACATACTATCGATTGCAAATGGGTCTACAAAATCAAGTTTCACCCAGATGGCACCATTGAGCGTTTTAAAGCTCGTCTTGTTGCAAAAGGCTACACTCAGGTCGAGGGCATCGACTTCCATGACACATTTGCCCTTGTTTCCAAGTTGGTTACTGTCCGCTGTTTACTTGTCATTGCCGTCAGCAAGGGATGGTTCATTCACTAGTTGGATGTTAATAGTGTCTTCCTCCATGGTGATCTCGATGAGGAGGTCTACATGCGCATCCAACAGGGTTTTGCTGGTCCGAGAGAGACTCGCGTATGCCGCCTTCATAAGTCACTATATGGTCTTCGTCAGGCCTCCCATAATTGGTATCACAAGTTCAATGTTGCTCTCTGTGAACTCCAGTTCCGACCATCTCCTGTCGACCACTCTCTCTTCATTTATCATCAGGGAAATACCTTTGTTGTTGCTCTTATTTATGTTGATGATGTTCTTCTTGCTGGTAATGATCTCTCTTTTATCACACAGGTCAAGACTTTCCTCAATGATCAGTTCAGCATCAAAGATCTTGGTAGTCTCCGTTACTTCTTGGGCATTAAAGCCACCTGCTCTCCTCAAGATGTCATTCTTAGTCAGCATAAATATGACCTGGACATATTATCCGATGTTGGTGTTATAGGTTGTCGTCCTAGTGCTTTTCGGGTCGAGCAGAACCATCATCTCGCTCGCATGGATGATACTGCTCTCCTTGATGATCCCTCAGCTTACCGACTGCTCGTTGGCCGCCTCTTGTACTTGACCGTGACTCTTCCTGACATCTCCTACGACGTCAACATTCTCAGTCAGGCCGTTAATGCTCCTACTCATGCTCACATGGCCGCCGCCAATCGGATCCTTCGGTACCTCAAGATTTCTCCAGGCCAAGGGCACTTGGAGACCTTCGTCTCCAGGCATATTCCGATGCTGATTGGGTTAGCTGTGAGTCCACACGTCGCTCGACCACCAGTTATTTCATTAGTCTAGGTGGTGCCCCTATCTTTTGGCGTACGAAGAAACACTAGGTGGTCGCTCGCTCCACTGCAGAGGCTGAATACCGGGTCATGGCTAGTATAGTGAGTGACTTATCTGGTTTCATTGGTTCCTTTCTAAGCTTGGTGCTCCTCAATCTCGTCCGACCACGCTACATTGTCACAACCAGGCGGCGTTACACATTGCTGCCAACCCTGTTTTCCACGAGCACACAAAGCATGTCGAGATGGATTGTTATTTCGTCTGGGAGCGCGTTCAATCGCAGGATATTGCTACCATTAAGGTTTTTTCTCAGCTCCACCTCACCGACCTGTTCACCAAGGGTCTTGGTGCCGATCACTTTCATTTTCTTCTCTCCAAGCTGGGCGTACGTGATATTCACGCTCTATCTTGCGGGGGAGTATTGGAGGACACTCGGCCCACTCCCTCGGCCGTACCTCCTGATCTCCAGCCCAGTCCATTACTCCGCCCGTATCCAGCGGATGTGATTTGACACCTAATGTAACCCTAGTTGATAGCCGAGAAGGGTATATATGTTTGTGTACAGCCATTGGCCAATCTATCAATCAATAATAAGAAACACAAACCGGAGAGGTTTCCTCTCCCGTGGACTAGTCTCGTACCTATGGGGATACCACGTTAATCGCTCTTGTCTCTACGTTGCCGCACTAAGTTTTGTATCTCTCAGAATACAAAGAGGGAAATGGAAGAAATTGTCAAACTTAATGAAGAACTCAGATAGCCGAAATTAAGAGTTTTCGTGGCTTCGGATTGAGTGAATGTAATTGGTCAACTCTCGGTTGCTCTTAGTGCTAACTTGCATCTTCTCCACCTTGAAGTAAGTGATTGTCACTCAGTGAGACTGTGAGGAATGCTATGTTATCCAGGAAAAGTTCTCTTATCACTTCTAGAGACAAATCACCTAAAGCCAACTTTTTCACAAATTTTTGCGATCACGTCATTTGGTGCTTATTCACATAATACTATGGTTATTCACGTAAGAGGATAAATTATGTACGTAAATGGAAAATCTGAATTTTTCCCTAATAATTTGTATTGATATATTTTATGAAATTAAATTTGAATTCTCAATTAATCTGAAAAAATGTGTTGCATTAATCATAATCTGCACAATCGATTTTGATATATTTGAAAGTTGGAAATTTGATTGTAAAACAACGTGAATAAACACCAAATAGCGTAACCTAACAAGGTGAGCAATAGATTTGAATCACATTAGAACTGATCTGTCAATAATTATGCATAACTGCATCCGTCATCATGCATTATGATTGACCGTGGCCGCTGGATTTGGGCCGCAGGAACACATAAGAGCATAATCGTAATATCTGTTAGAGAGTGGTATAAGATCCAGCAGAACCTTCTCCCAATAACTCGAGTTATTGGGACCAACTGGTTCTTGACATGGTATCAGAGCTGGGTTGGCCAAATGGTCGTGTGTTCGAATCTCCACGACCCCCAATATTACCAGTTGATTAAAGCACAAGGTATGGTGGGCCCGTGCAAACTTCAAGCCCATGGGTTGACTTTCGTTTGAGGGGGCGTGTTAGAGAGTGGTATAAGATCCAGCAGAACCTTCTCCCAATAACTCGAGTTATTGGGACCAACTGGTTCTTGACAATATCGCCTCTGGCATTTGATATACAAAAGCGATTACACACCGCCCTCCCCCTCTCTCTACATCATGATTTTTAACAGTGATCAAGCTGTACGGCCGAATTGAATTGGCCTGAACGCGGTGCCACAAACGGGCGTCAGTTGCCCAGTAACTCAGTAAGTCTTTAACCAGCCGCAGTCAAACTCGATCAAACCCTGTGAAATCAGTAGGTTTCACTGGCTGAACGAGTCCCGAGCAGAACTCAAATCTCAAAATGCCAGAACTCGAAATTGCTAATTTCTTCTTCTTCTTCTTCTTCTTCTTCTTCTTCTTCAATTGAGGCAGGAACGAGACTTGTTCTCTTCGGCTCCCACACATCGAAGTTGCAGTGGAGGTGTAGAGTCGATATCAGCAGCTTGCCTCGCTGGCATCAGTCGTCTTGCGCCCTTACCAATTGCCTTTCCTCACTCCGGGCGTGCCCAACCAACCCTTTCATTTCTTTTCCGCCCCTGCTATCTAGACGACGACGATTGTGTTGTTGTCTGATATATCGACTCCCAGCTCTCATCACTCTCACACATTAGCTCTCACCTGAATTTGTTAAGGTCGGGAATAGAGGGAAATTTCAGTTCTCCATAAATGAAGTTTAGAAACAAATGGAGGAAGATGAAAGCCACAACCACTTGTGGAAACCACTAACCCACCATGGTGATTGTCTCTCTATCTGTGTTTATGTTTCCCTTCATCCTCGTGTCTAGCTAAACGCACATGTTGTTAGGAATTTGATCCTAGAGTGATCCAAGACTATATATTATCATTTGATTACAATGTATTGAGGTTTTTATTCATATGATTGTTTGTTCTTGCTTGTTTCAATGGATTTCATATGTGTTTGATGAAAAATTATGCATACATGATTATTATTTGGTTTGCATATTGGTATGATGGGAAACTACGCATGTATGTGTGTCGATTATTTTTGGTTTGATGGGAACTGCGCCTAGGATAGTTCTTACCTCACCAAATCAATAAACTTGCTAGAATCCTTTGATCTTGCATGCACTCAATGGAATCTATGTGGTAAAATTTATCTAAAGTGGTTGAGAAATCACATTTATGTTAGTTATTATTTTATTGTAGACGGATTAGAATATGTTAGAGGAATTGAGATGGGAAAAATTCATGAATAAAACCTTGGTTATTAGTTAATGTTTTGGTGATCTTTAGAGGAAACCTCGTAAGCAACTGGTTTTATATTCTAGTTTTTTTAATTCTTTAAAATTATCGTTTTAGTCTTTTAATTCTTGTATATTTTGTATTTATTTTGCCTTTAAATTTTTGGCTCAAGTACTTTAGTTTTTCTATATTTTATTTGTTTTTTTTTTTACTCAAAATAGGGAACCTTCAACACCACTTGGTTTTCAGAATCATAAGCAATCAATTAGAAGTAATAGATAGTCTTGTGGAATACGACGCTGCCAAACAGTTATAGCATTTATCTTTTATTTGACGCTACCATCGAGTCAACGTGTGTCACACTCCATAGCCACTGGTTGTAGACAATAAAAAATTCTTTGGATTGATTTTGATATATGATTTCTCATGATTTTTTGAGGCCTTATTTGTAATAATATTTTTTCTTTATTTGGTAAAAATTTTGCACATGATTTGCAATAATTTAGTTACTATCTTAATTAAGATCTGTGCTTCGTTTATCACCATTGAGGTGCAATTGTGCATGAAATGTTATTTGACCCAATGGCCTTATCGTTGGACAAAGAAAATTATATCATTTTTATATAAATAATACACAACATTTATATCTAAAAGGAGTAAACACAATAGAGAAAACAGCACACATGTCATCTTTAAATCACACGGATCTGAATGATACTATTGAACAACAAATTCATTAGGAAATGAAAACTTTATTATGAAGAAAAATCTATTTTGATACCACCAACAAAAGTAGCACTATTTCAAACTGGTAAGAGCTAACTTGACAAGCCCTACTTTTTCACAAACTCAATACTTTGAAATCCTTAAATGCAATCCGTTTGGTACTTCAATTCTTGGGAATTTCACCATTTCTTCTCCTTCAAGCTCCTCCCATCTGGAAAAAATCATAA